AAGGTCTAAATGACTATAATCAATTTATACCTTTAGTCATGTGAATAGATGTATTGAACTTGACTCGCTTCCCGAAAATATAATGCTCAAAAAAATCAACTTTTTCATTTTCCTGTTTGTCAAGCAAATCCTGTTTATACATGACTTCTATACCCCTCTTGCTCATGCAGCCCAAACGCATATGTCATAATTGGGTAGTATCTGAATTTAGAATTTCTTAAGATAACACATCAGCTGCACCAACCACAGTATCACCTTGCAGAACATAAAGACCGTTGATATTTTTACATTTCATCACAAGCAGGGAACCTCTGCAAACTTTCATAACTCCACTTTCAGTAGAAAACCTGCAACCAATGGAATCTAAAGTACCTAAGAAAATCAAATTCTTCTTGAATTCTAGAATATATCGTACATCTGTCAAAGTCCTCACAAGCTCATCCAGTGTCTTAATTCAGATAGTAAATATTCCAACAGTCTTACAAGCAATATTATTTCCCATGAAGACTGAATCATCATTGATTGATTCATAGGTGGTAAATCAATCCTTATTAGGGCACATATGATCAAAAATCCATTCATCATTAAAATGTCCATCAGAAACAACAACTATAAGGATATTATCTGAATCATCAGATTTATCTTCTACAACACCAGCAACACTAGAGGAATCAGAAGGATTGATTTTTTCTGTCCCCCTTTACTTTTCAACTTAAAACAATTACGCTTACAATGACTAATTTTATGATAATAGAAACATTCAACATTATTTTGTTTCTTTCTAGACTATGATTAATATTCATATTTTTCTCTTTCTTTATCTGAATTTCTTTTAACAGATCGACCTTTATTATTACTAGGCAAATTATCATGATGACCGACCCTTCACAAACAAACCCTTGGACTGAGCATCACTATCCTTACCGTTAAATTTAGTACACAACTTCTTAGAATTCAAAGAGGATTTCACATCAACTAAGAAGATTGAGTCTCTCCCATACAACATCGAATTAACAAAATTATCAAACGAATCAGGTAGCGGGCATATCACAATTAGAGCTTGATATTCATTCCCAATTTTAATATCAATATTTTTCAAGTTAATAATAATTTTGTTAAATTCATCAAAATGTTCATTAATGAGTGTACCTTCTTTCATCTTGAGTGTATACAACCGTTTCTTTAGATGTAAGTGGTTGGTGAGAGGTTTCTTCATTTATAAACTCTTCAACATTTTTCATAGCCCTTTACCTTTGTCTTCATCGACGACCTCAGGAAGAACTTCATTAGCAAGAAACAACTGAATTGCACTATGTGTTTTTTCTTCAATATCAACAACTTTGGTTTAATTTGTCTCCTTGAATAGAGATCCATCAATGGCCTTTGTCAGACCCTTCTAACGAAGCAATGTCTTTCATCTTAATCTGTCATAAATTGAAATTGTTCTAACGATCAAATTTTTATATTTCGAATTTTGTTGTAGCCATCCCAAAACCAATAGTTCCGATACTAGTTTGTTACAAACTAAAGTTACAAGCAAAATAATAACACAACGAAATGGAAAAATATAACACAAGAGATTTATACGGTTCGGCTTATCAAGAAAACCTACATCCATGAACAAAACACAAGAACTAGATTTCACTATTAATGATTGAAAATTACAGAGTTCTCAAAATAAAGACAAGAGAACATCAACATGCTCTATTACAATATTTATATTAAACTAAAATAAAGCATATCCAAATCTTCATAAAGGACAATCGTCGTCGTCAATCCCATAGATGTCACTGATCACGTTGCTGCGACTTTAAAGCTTCTGAAGAAAACCTTTGCATTAAGGTATCAAACTCATAGTAGACTAGGTCAAATAGTTCATTAAGTCCAAGAAGTAAAAAACTTCACCAAGCAATTATGTGTTGGACTTTTCAACACTTATCTCATGTATCCTCAAATTGGTATGCTAAGCCAATAGCCTTCCATGTGCAAAAGGCGTCCAAGAGTTTGTGTACAAAACAAACTCAAATCAATACTCCATGTACTGCTTGGAAAACAAGTCAATTATTAACACAAGTTGTGATTGATTTTGTAATTTTCACCCGTTTAGTAAGCAAATCATCACTAGCAAATTTACGGAGGAGCCAAGGTGGTCCTTGCCCCACTCTCAAAATCTCGAAATATATCATTTTCAATATTCTGTGAATATATATATGACTATGTCCACCTTATCATTTTCGTATGGGTCTAAATGCAAATATCTATGATGGCTTATGGTCACACTTTGAATATGTTTGAATAAGTTTGTAATACATCAATGTTATTTTGTATAAATTAGGGTCATTATGCAATAAAATAAAAGACTGTATAGCAAGTATATAAAAACATGATTGTGACGTAAAATTGTAAAACATTTAGACTTAAAATAACACTTTTACAACATATATTGTCTAATGAGATTATTCTTACCAAACAAAATTGAAAGAGGGACCGAGAGATTTAAAGAGAAATTAAAAAGCAAAAAAAAAAGAAGAAGAAGCGATCAACAACTATCCTATACTTCGATTGCTTTGGTGGGTTGTAATTTATCTTTATTTGAATTACGGTGAGTCAATAACACTATTACCAACAATTTTTTTTGGTTAACTTTTTGCACTTATAATCATGATTTGTGTTTTTCTGCATTAAGTTTGTTTTTTTTGTTTCAATAATGCTTTTCTAATGATATGAAATACAATTGGCCAATAATTATAGCTCTTTGCAATTGACCCTGATTTGTATTTATCTGAATGTAAAATTATTGGCACTTAACCTGCGTTTCCCTTTTACTTTAATGTGTTTTGCAAATGACATGAATGTATTAGACTCATTTACAAATCATCTCTCACTTTCAAATATAGAGCACATCATGCTCTTGCAATTTGTGGACTAAAGTATCCAATCAGACACAAATTCCTAACTCCGCCACTGCCAGCTGTGTATGGACCGAGTGATTTTTGACAACCCACTGAGATCTGATAATCCTTTCTTTGTGGTATAATTATCAACCTTAATAATAACTGTAACTTTTAACTATAGAATTTCTATCGATTTATATAAAATTGATAAAATCTAAATCAACGTCGACCTTAGTCTTCGTTTTCTCAAATAAGAAAGTTGTGTTCGATCCCGACCGCATAATTGATACCTGCTCCTACTCAAAAAATGAAAAACGTAGGTAGCAGCTCTGTGGATCCCAGTCTACCATGAAACCTCAAACTGGTTTGATCGCTTCATTTATATTTCAAATTTTTAAATGGATGGTTCTATTTTTCGATGACACCACATTTAATTATAAAACAACATTAAAACCGTGCCACAAGGGCCTTACTCTTATAGTTTGATGGCGTGGCAAAATTATGTGCTCGATAACATTGTTATCAGAATTAGACTAGATATCAAATTAGCAAAGGTATTGGATCAATAGTTTATTAGTTCAATCATTGGATCAACTGACTGGATTGATCATATATTAAAAAAATAAAATATAATAATTTAGCTAAAAAAAAATAAAACATATTCCCAATGCATACAATTTATCATAAAATTCCTCCAATATTTTTATTTATTCTCATTTTTTATAAATTATTCTTTCATTGATGAGTGAGGATTTCACTTGCATACACTAAGTTCCATTTGAACTCTCAAAAACCATTGCCAAAATGGAAAACAGAGAGAAAACTAATTAGAGAGTATCTCACTTCAGTTCAAAACATTAAAATATCGAATTAAAAATGTGTTCCAAAGAAAATGTCTGTGTTTATAGACAACGATCAAATCACCAGTTTTAACCATTATTGACGTTTAAATGAAATTACAATCAATAATTACCACTTCTTTCGAACAAAGGGAGTGACAAGAAAGAGAGAGACTCGGAGAGTGACCGAGTGAGTGAGAGACTTGTCGTGAATCGTGAGAGAGAGAGAGAGAGAGACTTTCAGAAGGCTGGAGGAGCAGAGAGCCTCAGATCGACTGATCGAGTGGCTGCCTAGTAGCTTGAGGCGCTGAGCTACGGACGAAAACTAGACTGCTGTGCTGGAGGCTGGAGCAGAGCAAAGAGAGATCGACAGAAGAAATGTCTGTTCACAGCACCTGGAGAAGAGGAGGACCGAAGGATACTAGAGGGAAGAAGAAATGGACTGGGTCAATGGGGTGGAGAGCAACTGATTATAGGGCAAAATTGATAATCCGGTTTGACAAAATCGTCCGGTACACTGGTTTTATCAAAAATCGATCAATTTTATTGTTTTTTTCAGATTTAATTACATAGTCTATCTAATGCAAGAACCGGACCAGTTTAGCCCCGATTCAGACCGGTCCGATTTTAATAACATTGCCTGCCCGATAAACAATTTTTTATGCCTAATCAGAGAGGTATCAAAAAAAAATAATAATAATATGCATGTGACTTCTTGGAACACATTTACCCACTACAACTTTTCTTTGGTCTCTTTTTTATTTCACCTGAGCTTGGCACAGCTGCCTAAAAAATTTCTTTCAATCACGGTCTCAAATGAAGAGATAATGACTTATGTGACTCATCTATTTCTAGAGATATTCAGACAGAACTTAGGGTAATTAACGGTTGTGGAGTGTCAATCAGGGAACAATAGGCCATGCAAGCGACGAGGAAATATTCTCGTTGAGTCGAGTAATTGGAAAGACCATCCTCGGGATAGGAAAACCAACATGGAACCAAGAAGTTGTTCCCTCCTTATCTAAAAAGATTCGGATAAAACTGGGTAAATTCATTCTACAATGTCCCTTAGACTGGGAAAGACGCAAGTTGCGGTGCTGTATTTGCATCCCTGGGCTCATAATCAAACTAATCTCGTGCCCATCGCATGTGCGACCATCATTAAGACGACTGGAATGCCCGCAGTTTTTAGGAACAAAATCCAAAGGGGTGGCTGCTAAAAGAATTGAATATTCCAAAGGTGAGATGTGCAGTGCTGCCACGATAACGGACTCCCATGTTAATATGTCGACATGAAAAAGGGAAAAGTCACATTTCCTGTGAAGAGTTATGTAAACTATGGTGTACAATGTGAATCAAGGAAATGATCACGTACTAACTCCATGTGTAGAAGAATATACACTTCTCTATATACACAGCGTAAGAGAGCACAAGGAACCAAAAAACTGAAAATCAAATGAAAATCATACCCAATTGTTTGGAAGTGAGAAGTCATGAAACCGAAAGGAGGATTCTCCTGCAGTATCTCTCTCAAGCAGGAGCTCTGGTCCATCACTGAGAACTCTACTTTCATTTGAAAGTTCAGATGGCAACGGCATTGCTTGATTCTCATTTAGGGGGCATGCCAATTGAACTTCAGGAGGTAGTGACAACGCAGGAGGGGAGGCCGCCCTAAGCCTGTTGTTTCCGCCACTGAAAGAAACTGCTGCTCGGTCCCATAAAAAAACGTGAATGAGGATAGGAACCCTCGCATGCCGGTGCAATGACAGCTTCTGGCTTAAGGAAACAGTATCAAAGCATCGGATTGCTCCTGTTGGAGAAACCATCCAAGGAAGAACTTTCTGATTAGATATTCTTGAGACCGCCAGGAGTTTACATGCTCTGGTTGCCTCTTTATACAGATTGCTGAGTCCTGATCGTGTCGAAGGTGCATTATCATCACCTTCAATAACTGAAGAAATGTAGATGAATCCCTGGCAATTGTAGATGAAAGGTGAGCAAGAACGAATGACGTATAACAACAATGGAGGCAACAAATGAATGGATAAAAGACATTTCAGTTTGAGAATCCATTCTGAAGAGGAGTTGAACTTTTAACTTTGAAGATGCATTGTGAACCAATCGTAGGTTGAAGTGTCATGTAAAATACATCGGGACATTTAACTCGTAAATTTACAATTTCTTATAGTAAATAAGAACCAGGAGGATAAACTACAAACCTCTTCTGTTCTACTAATGGCAAAACCAAGTTTTGTGTCACTTTCTTTTATTTTGATCTCGATCCCAACCTCCCCTCCGAGAGGGGAAAACCAGAGACGGACTGCCCTGACTACACCAATGTCCACCCCATGGTAATCCTCAAAACCATATAGGCTTGCATTTGCAAGATTTGACAAGTCAGAAAGTGACCCAGCATTCACAGTACAAGAAGCTGTCTCCCCAGATATCTGTACCAGAATGGAAGAAGAAACATGCAGTGAAATTTTTCAATACAAACAAGGGTCAACAGCTTTAGAAAGTTGAACAAATATTTCATCAGCAATAAGGCCAATAATCTCAAATGGTCAGTCAGTCAGGTCCAAAAAAACAGAAGAAAATTATCTTCTTGTGCCACAGTCAGATTATACAAGTTATCCGTTCTTGAAGGACACAAAGTTCCAATGGCAACCGGGTCCATTCTACTCGCGGGTGGTCATACATTCACTCCTTACTCAAACCAGATCAAGGATCAAACCTTTAGTTCTGTGCATAGTTTTGATTAGTTCAGGGGAAATATTTCGGAAAAGTTTCAGAAATATCTGAAACTTTGATTCCAAAACATTTGGAGAAATTTTGAAATTTGTCAAAACACTCAGAAACATAGGAATTTCAATATTCAATCCCTGATTCATTTCTATTTCCCCCGAAACCAAAACATTTTAGTTGTTTCTATGGAGACAAAAACAAAATTCTGATTCTTTTCCCCAATCTATGACTGTAATTTTTCCCCTATTATAGAATCCACCATACACTGCATTTTTAGTAGCATGTGTCAAGCAGAAATGGCATTTTTAGGCTTGCAAAAGCAAGTTGATATATTTATCTAGTAGGGGACAAAGAAAAGTATGGTTTTGAGACTAAAACTTGAACTTAACGAGTCCAACATAAAATTCCAAACGTAACATACCACAGAAAAAATTAGTTGTGCTGTAGTGAGGGATGCATAACTTGAGTAAAATATTATAACCAGGGAGCTCCTTTAATTGTTTGAAATATGTTAATAGACACATCCGAAGCCCTTCTTACATAGAGCTACATCAGAACATGGGTGACTTGTTAAAAAGGCTCTCCTTTACAGGATACGTAAAGAACCAAAGCATTCTCAACACGGAGTATGAATATGACGGCACCTAAAACATAGGTAGGAAGATAACTTGAACTTTGTGTCACCCTTACTATGACATCGGTCATGCAAATATGTCTCTGCCTTCTCATAGAAACTAAGTTATTTACTGAAAACGCAGAGATAATGCCCGTATCCCAGTAACCAGTATGTTTGCAAGCCCAATAATGACCACTCTCCAAGTAGTTTGGTGCATACCACCATTCAATATATTCAATAGCCACACTATGCATTAATGACAATTGTCTAAGAAGCCAAATCAGTAAAGGTCTTTTCTCATGGTGCTTTGTTGAGCTTACCTTGGTGAGTAGGGATTCAGTCTGGATGTTCATGAAGACAACAGGGACTCCAGATGCCTGAGAAGCATTAAGCCATGCATTTGCTCTGGCCAGGGTGTCCTCCAGGTCATTGTAGCGGAAAGCAGTTCTCTCTGAGGCTTTTGGAAGGAGCAGCATAGAAAAAAAGCAGCTTGAATTGGGAACAGACAGCAACTCCTGCATTCTCCTTTCCCACGAATATGAGACATATCCATCTTGCAATTGAGTCATAGTTAATGCACTCACCATCCTAGAGGTCCTTGAAGCTGCACACGAGTCATAGTTTAACAAATCATGGATGAAAATAGAAGAAGCCTAACTGAGTGCTGTTCACATGCCAAAGAATCTGGGTAAGCTGCGTATTAACAGTTGTCCCAGAGGTGACCTCAGGTTAAGAGGTTAAGAACTTAAGCCGGTCACAGTAGGCAAAGGACAGGAAGTATGCATGTTTAAACTAGTGTTGTGGCCAGTCACAGGGTGTTCAGGAAATGGATTCGTAATAGGAGGAGGAATAGATCAAAATTGCAGTTAATATGGTCTTCAATACCAATTCTAAGGGCCGAGTAAGACAACAAGAGACAATAGATGGGTGAAACATTGATAGAAAAGTGGCATCTCTTTGCTGCTAAGAAAGATCTAAGCCTACCCAAAAATGTTGACTGTAAACCAGTTTTTTGGTTTTGACACTGTGATGAGTTACACCCGAGAATTTTATATCAGCATATTGTGATCCTTAAAATCTGTTTAAAGTGCCTTCCAATTGCTAGAAAATGTAATCTTTTTATGGCGGACATTAACTCGAGGAGAGTAGCACAGCCAAGGGATAAACAAATATTGAATGTTGTAATAAAATAGGGTTATTTGACTGGTCAGAGATTTTTGCATGGGAAACATTCCAATGTAACTCATTTATTCGTTGTACTTTTTATAACCGTGGCTCATACACTCAAATCTGAGGATATATGCTCATAAGAAGAACATAAGGTTCATCTAGCATGTGAAAATAGAACATTGGAATAAATTTTTTGTTCCAAACAAAGAAAAAACCTGAGGACTGTCAGCATACAACTGCCTACAACCCCAGAACAAAAAAAGAATTATTCCACTTTCTCTGATGTGTGGGAGTAAAACTGCATGTTACCAAGGTTCAGAATCAGGCAGTTGAAAGCCGTGGGACACCTGCTACTTATGAATGGGAAACACCCACTTCAAAATGACACGTACCAATCGGCAAGTCTGAATACAAAAGCTAAATAAAAAATGCTCAACCCAACCAAACGTGAGTGACCAATTCATCTCAATGGAACAATCCCTCTCTATCTGACTAGATTTCAACAGCCTAAACAAAACACAATTCCAAGCTGTCACCATCTCCAAGTCAGTCAATTCTTGTTAATCTAAGTGACAGTAATCTCATCACCCTCAGGTCTCGTTGGTTAGGTTTAGTTTTTGCGTGTTATTTGTGTCTAGGCATTGAATCACCATTGATGAGAAGCTCGAAGCCTGGATACTGCAAGTTTTGTCAAGAGCCCCAAGTGCAAAACAATCTTTCATGGCCATGCCACAATCTCCTTCAAAACTACTCCATACCATGATTCATGCACATTTGATGGATTCCCATATGGTGGTAGGCCTAGTAATAATGAGAAATTCCCATATGCACGTAATTGATCAGTTGAGCAATTAATCCCCAAAACCACAAAAAAACAAAGTAGTAGATGGAAACAAAATCCACAACATAGTTGGAATAAGATTTTGTAGACTCAAAATACTTTTTTTTTTTTAAAATTCAATTTATACATGCTACACACGACTCTCTCCGACGAAAACCTCGTGCAGTCGACCGCATTTATTTTAACCATTTTCTCTTGTGTTTCATCTTACTAACTTTAGCATCGCCTCCCAAAAAAGGCTAGCCATGGGAATAGAACATGTCACACGTATAATTGCTAGATTGTTCAATGTCCAAATTACAGTGCACATTCTTTCCAACCGTGCCCTCATACGCGTGTAATAATATCTCTCGTGTGACTAACCAGCAACCCCCACCCCGAGAACAAGTCACTGAAAAGTCAACGTCGTACCTTGCAGAGCCAAGCAATCGGTCTCCGTCCGATCAAAGAACCCAACAGCATAATTCGGATCATCAATAGCCCTAAGCATGTACTGCTTCTTCCCAGAAAACTCATTCGGTACAATACACGCCTGTAACTCGGCGAACTCGTCCGATCCGCGTCGGACTCGGACCTGAATCGACGTCTCCTTCGACTTGAACGAGTTGTGCAGTATCTTCTGCACTCCGGCCTTCCCGTTCTTGAACGGCGACCGGATCGTTAGGTTTCCGATCTTTATCTCTTCCACTATGTCGCCGGTCTGTAACATGTCACCGGTCCATTCGTCGGCTTTGGAGCTTCCTTTTAAGCATTCGATTGACAAGACCAGCGAGCCTTTGGAGCTTCCCGATTGGAATTCCGATGAATTTGTACGGTCCATGGGCATTTTTTCTTCGATTTTGATGAGAAATGAATGAAAATTTGAAGAACCTGATGGTTTTTCAATCAACTGAGCATTTCAGTGCGAAAAATTAAGCTTCAGAATTCTTGGGTTTGTATAGCTAAATTCTGTCGAGAAAGATGAACTCTCCAAACAACGATTGAAAAAATTGGTTTCTGTAAATTCGAAGGTTTCAGCTCTAAAGTTTCTCTCTCTAGAATTTATTATTTAGTGTGTGTTTGTAAACATATGTGTATATAGAGTTGATGGAGCTAGGAGTGCTTGTTTGCAGAGAAGAGGAGAGAGAAAAGACTGGTAAGGCTTAATAGTCAAAAACCTTGGAGAATAATAATGGTAGACAGTTGCTATTTGCGTATGGCACTACAAACTACAAAGTTTCCAAGAACATTCATTACAATGATTCTCGTGCAATCAAATGTTCATGTTCAATTTAAAATATCAGGAAAATTAAGTTACCCCCACCCTAGTAAATTGGCTTATTTATCTTCTTCTGACCAATACAATGTTACAATTACACTTAACCTTTCGAAAAGAACCCATTTGACCCCCATAGACTATAATAAAATAAAGGTAAAATGTCATCCACACCCCCTTCTAGCTTATTATATTTTTAAGGATATTCTCTCTACTTTTGAAATTTTCATTAACACCACTTGTCAGATTAAAGACTTTAACTAAAATATAATTTTACTAAATTATTTATGATATATTTTAGAAAAAAAATCATTCATACCTCCTCTAGACAGACATATCTTCAATGAAACTACCTTTGTTTTATGAATTTTTTTTGTATCAAAATTCGGGCAGATTAATATTCGATTTAAGCAAATTAAAATTTATTTTTAATTAGTTCAAATCAAATTTTAATCAATTCGCATTGAATTTTAATTGACCCAAATTTTGATACATAAAAAAATAAATTTTAATCGACTTAAATTTTAATACGTAAAAAATAAATTTTAATAAACTTGAATCAAATTTTAATTACCACAAATTTTAATAAGTAAAAAATATAAATTTTAATTGATTCAAATCGAATTTTAATCGACACTAGTAGCTCATGTTAAGCTCAAATCGATTCAAATTTTAATACGTAAAACAAATAAAATTTAATCAACTCAAATTGAATTTTAATTGGTTCAAATTTTAATATGTAGAAAAATAAATTTTAAGCCGCTCAAATTTTAATATATAAAATTTATTTTTTTTTAATGTAAAAAAATAAATTTTAGCGACTCGAATTTTATGTAGAAAGATTATTTGTGGTTTATGAATGGTCAATTTTGGTATTTTAGATAAAAAAAAATTGTTAGAAATGGTGGTTTAATGACATGGGTGTCAGTGATGTTTAAATACAAACTATAAGGGTGTCAATGATATTTTCGATAATAAATAAGGTCTCTTTGAAGATATTGTACATTAAAAAAAAATATGGGTGAAATTTCTCCTAGAATAAACAATAATGAAAAAGTGTAAAAAGATTATAACATCCCTTTATCTTCTTATATTCCCAAACTCATCTGTCATATTTCTTTCCAATTAAAAAAAAAGTAATATTTCTTTCTCTATGTTTTTTTTCCATACTAAGCCGCACCGTTGTTACTCACACGGATATTTTAAAAAATTTGCTCGTTTTGGCTTTAGACAAGACTAAGCTCAGTAAGACTTAGAGATAGAGTTTTTCTAACTAGATTATGCGAAGAAACAAGAACTCTCAAAATAAAGTTTCGAAAAATTGGTCTTTTCGTGAATTCAAAGGTTTCAACTCCAGTAATCACGAGGAATAATTTTTTTTTTACCTCTATCCTCTATTCTATATTACATATAATATATATAAGCATGTGTAGCTATCTATCTATTTAGTGGATGCAAAGCAGGCATTAATGGCGATAGCACTCCTTATCTGAAAATAAGGGGATCGAGAGGAGATTGGTGAACCTAAAAAAAGTCAAAAAGTCAAAAAAGTTTGGAGAACGATAATATGATACACAGTTGGTATTTGCGCATGGACCTACCAACTATCAACTATCCAAGAACATTCACACTTGCAAAATCATATTCAAAATATCTAGAAGGTGGTGATATTCAAACTATCCACACACTTGAAAACTTTTTTGGGGCAAATCTATATAATAAAATATGACTCATTGTTAAATCCTTTAATTTAGCTTAGCATTGGAGTGATAAATTCACTCAATTTAATGACTCAAAATTGTCACTAATTTTTTTTTTCCTAAATCTGTTCATACTTTTTCACTCTAATTAAGACTAGATTCTCTCCAAAGTTGAAAATTTCACATACCTCGTACATTTTCACACTAACCAATGTCAAAAGAGTCTTTCATCTCCTATCTCTTTTTATTAATAAAGGAAATTTTTGTCATTAAGGAAAAAAATTTGTTTTCATGTACAGCTAGGACTTTCCTTTTGTCTTTCCCTTATTGTGCTATAAAGAAACATTCACATGAATGATAGAATTAAAGAATTCATTCCACAATTTTTAAAATAGTACTAGAGCCTTTCTTTCTCTATGGCCTGACCTAAAAAAATTCTAAAACCACATGGTTGCACCTCAACCAACCCCAACCCCCCTCTTATCGACGCCTCTCCACCAGCAGCTGCCAGAGGTGACTCTTCTCCTTATCATCTTCTATCTTCTGATTCTCCCAGTGTGAAATCTTGCAATTCCAACAAGTCTATTCTCAACAGGCCTCCTATCCAACCAGCTACCAATCACGTTCTGGCAATGTAGTCCTCCTCACCTGCCATGGTCCTAGCTTTACACCAGAGCAGTCTCGGCAACTAATTGATCTTCTCACGCCCGTACCCTCTGCAGCCAATTTTGTTAGTATTTTCTGTTCTTTGCCTATTTCCAAAAATCTAAATCATGACCAGTTGATCGATAACAGTTCTAGTGATCATATGTCTCGTAGTCATATCTTATTTTGTAATGTTGTCCGTCCTACCAATGCTCATCCCATTTGCTTATCCGCTGGGGATTTGGTTCATATTGAAGGAATTGGTAATATTCATCTATCTCCTTCTATCCATCTTTGAATGTATTTTATGTTCCTACATTTAAATTTAATATTCTTTCTATTCCTAAGCTTACACATTCTCTTAGTTGTGTTGTTACTTTTTCTTGTTCCTCTTGTGTTTTTCAAAACCCTCTCATGAAGAGGACGATTGGAGTGGGTGAAGCATGCAACGGGCTAACATCTACCATTTTACTCCACCTACGACCTCCTCTACTAGTAGTCACCCCACTAAATCCCTTTGGCACCAACTCCTCGCCCATCCCTTTACTTTTCATATTCCTAGTTTTAATAAATTTTCTTGTTCTCTTAATAATTGTGATGTATGTGCTCGTGCCAAGCACACCCAAACTCCTTTTCTAGATTTTGTTAATAAAAATGCAGTAGTTTTTAATCGAGTTTTTGTTAATATTTTGGGTGGTTATCACACACAATCCACTAGTGGTGCATTTTTTTCTCACTATTACCATATTTTTCACGTACTACCTGCATTTACCTCATGCACTTTAAATTTGAAATTTTCTCTTGCCTTAAATATTGTTTTTATGCTTGTCAAGACTCAATTTCATTCTCAAGTTAAACATGTCCGCTCTGACAATGGTGTTGAATTTTTGTGTAATTATTTGCAACATTTCTTTAGTGACAATGGCATTATTCATGAGTGTACTTGTGCTAAGACTCTGTAACAAAATGGTGTGGTTGAACGCAAACACAAACACCTTTTGAATGTAGCTCGTTGTCTCCATTTCCAAGCCAACCTTCCTATTAGGTTCTAGGGTGAGTGTGTCCTCATTACAACCTACTTAATCAACCGAACACCATCTCCTCATCTACAAAATAAGTCCCCTTTGAACTACTTTTTAATAAGCTCCATCTAATGATCATCTATGCGTCTTTGGCTGTCTTTGCTATATGAAGACGCTCAAAGTTCATCGGGATAAATTTTCACCTTGTATCATGAAATGTGTCTTCCAAGGTTACCCTAGCTCAAAAAAAGCTTATCGTGTCTATTATCTTGACTCTTGACTATAACCAAAAAAAGAAAAAAATCTCTAGGAATGTGACCTTCTAGAAAATGATCTTTCCTTTTTCCACTCCGCCACATCCTCCTGCCCTTCCACTTCCTGTGCTTCCCTGCTCAATTCTTGAAACTCTTGATGTCTACCCCACCCTACAGATCACTCCCACTTCCTTGTTTGATATATCATCACCAACCCTACCCCCTGGCACTTTCACCGCCACCTCCTCTGTCCTTGCCATCCTCCCATCCACTACGTACAATTGCTCTGCCCCTCCACCACCATAATTAAATCTATCCTATCCTCCATGTAGAGCCCACTGTGCCTTCATCTGTTCCACAATCATCAAGTACTTCTCATTCACTTACTTCTTTCCTCTCTTATTCCCGTTTTTCTACTTCTCACTTTGCCTTTTTAGTTGTTCTTACTACAATTGTTGAGTCTTCCTCCTACTCTCAGGCCATCCATTTTTCTCTTTAGCGTGAGGCCATATCTTCTAAACTTAGTGCTCTAGAGGCCTATAATACTTGCACTCTTGAATATTTTCCTCCTTGTAAGAAACCAATTGGTTGCAAGTGGGTCCTCAAGACCAAATTTCGGGCTAATTCCCAAATGGTTTTTTTAAATGGTGGGACAAGATTGATTTTGAATTTTGTAATTATAGAAAATGAAGAAAAAAAATTGCTATTTGATATATTTATACTACACGACTGATGCTCGATTTATTTGTGTTATTCAATGTCTTTAGGCACGAGTTATTACTAGTCTATATAATAAAATAGGACCTATTTTGAATCCTTTAACTTATTTTAACACAAGAGTGGCTGACATTCACTCAATCCAATGGCTCAAAATGTCACAAAAAAAAAATACCATAAATCAACCCATATTTTTTCATGCTAATCAAGGCCAGATTCCCTCCAAAGTTGAAAATTTCTCCTACCCTATACCTTTTCATGCTAACCAAGGTCAAACAAAGCCTTCTTTCTCTTATCTCTTTCTTATCTCCCAATTTTTTTTAAATGGTGGGATAAGATTGATTTGGAGTTATATAATTATAGAAAAAGAAGAAAAAATAAATTATTATTTCATATATTTATACTACACTACTGATGCTCGATTTATTTGTGTTACCAACAACGAAGCTATAGTTTGGCCAAGGCCCTCAAGTTTTTGTGCAAAATCAAAATTCACCAACTTAAGTAAAACATCACTGATTTGAATGGCTGATAATGCAACAATGTAATATGTCCAAAGCAATAATTGATTCATTGCATAATTTCGAATGACAAAATATATTTACACAAACCTTACATTTATAGGTTTGAAAATCGTAT